TCTGTTACAGTCACCAGACGAAACGTCTCTACCCCTGATACATCCCCAGCCACTGGAACAGTAACATGACGACACGTCGCTACTCCTGATACATCCACATTCTCTGTTACAGTCACCAGACGATACGTCACTACCCTTGATACCTCCCTAGTCTTTGTTACAGTCACCGAACGACACGTCTCTACCACTGATACATCCCCTGTCTCTGTTACAGTCACCAGACGACACGTCACTTTCCCTGATACATCTCCAGTTTCTGTTACGGTGAGCAGACGACACGTCACTACCCCTGATACATCCCCAGTCTCTGTTACAGTCACCAGACGACACGTCACTTTCCCTGATACATCTCCAGTTTCTGTTACAGTGAGCAGACGACACGTCACTACCCCTGATACATCCCTAGTCTTTGTTACAGTAACCAGACGACACGTCTCTATCCCTGATACATTCCTAGTCTCTGTTCCAGTCCCCAGACGACACGTCTCTACCCCTAATACAGCCCTAGTCTCTGTTACAGTCACGAGACGACACGTCACTACCCCTGATACTTCCACAGTTTCTGTTACAGTCACCAGACGAAACGTCTCTACCCCTGATACATCCCCAGCCACTGGAACAGTAACATGACGACACGTCGCTACTCCTGATACATCCCCATTCTCTGTTACAGTCACGAGACGACATGTCACTACCCCTGATACATCCCCAGTCTCTGTTACAGTCACAGGAGGACACGTCGCTACCCCTGATTCATCCCCAGTTTCTGTTACAGTCACCAAACGAAACGTCTCTACCCCTGATACATCGACAGCCACTGAAACAGTAACAAGACGACACTTCTCTTTTCCTGATACATTCCCAGTCTCTGTTACAGTCTCCAGACGACACGTCTCTACCCCTGATACATCCCTAGTCTCTGTTACAGTCACCAGACGACACGTCACTACCCCTGATACATCCCAAGTGTCTGTTACAGTCAACAGACGTCACGTCTCTACCCCTGATACATCCCAAGTCTCTGTTACAGTCACC